TTTTTAAAATAAAAATTTTAAATAACAAATTATGTTAATAATTTTTTTTAAAAATGAAAATATCCTTCAATATAATAATTTATTTTATTTTTAACTAACAAGTTATTGATAAAAAAATTAATATTTTTAAAATTTTAAATAACAAATTATGTTAATAATTTTTTTTAAAAATGAAAATATCCTTCAATATAATAATTTATTTTATTTTTAACTAACAACTTATTGATACAAAAGAAAGAAAATTTAATATTTTTTAAATAAAATTTCCTAATTTATTTTATGAAACATGACGTTTATTAAAAAAATTTATTTTAAAGAAGCGCACACACCTTTTAGGCTTTTACTAAAGTAAAATTACAAACAAAATATCGGAAAAGAAAAAGAAAAGGAAGAAACCGAAATAACAGCAGCAAAAGGACAAAAGCAACTGTTAAATTACATATACAAATTTTAACAAAATAGTTCGTACCATTATCTTCTGATTCTCTTCCACTTTTCTCGCAATTTTTTTTTTCTTTATTCCACACTTTTTTGGTTTTGTTTGTTTTGTGTGTGTGTGAGTGTGTTCTTTTTTTTTAATTTTTTTTTCCTTAGTTTTTCACTCCAGTTAAAGCTCTCTCTCTCTCTCTCTCTCTCTCCATACTTGATACAATCGTAATGCTTTCCAAGATTTTGCTTTGTTTCCTTCCATTTTCCCACTGACCAAACAACCTATTCAGCTTAATTCCTACTCTTCTCTTTTTTTCTCTCCGTCGATTCATTTCTCATTTTACCAAACTGTTGATATTTTGCTCGATCGGCGTTTTGACTTCAATTACTGCGATTCAAGTGCTGTCAGTGAAGGAATTGGAGTTTGACTTGGGTGATCGGTAATGGTGGAATCGAGTTTTCCAGGTGATTCTCGGCGTTCTTTTGCGCTTGAAGTTAGGGTTTGGTTTGGGAGTGAGTGAGTGAAAACGGTAAGCTATTGGATGAGATGGTGAATGGAAGCTTCTGGTTTTGAGAATGGATGAGTTTCACACGAGCTAGTGTTTGGATTCCGTTTTTTATTTTTTTTGATTTCTTTTCTGCGGTGGCGTTTGGATTCAGTAAGGCATCATCCTTTGGGTGATGTCTCGCACGGATAGGATGGCCTCGGATCTTAGCAGGACTGGCCCTGTAGAAAGGGACATTGAACAGGTATTACTTCTATTTCTTGGATTAATTTCGATCTCTTGCCGATTTTTGTTGCGTTTTATGCTGTTTCAGTCACATTAGATGCTTCGATTTATTCAATTACCGTCTGCAAATTCTGTTTCTATGATGCCTAACACTGGTATATTTATGCATTTCATCAAAAATTTTCAGTTTAATTGCTACAGATTGGTGTGTATTTGTTCCCGTGATTAGACTTGGACGTTAGAACATGCTGAAAATATAGACCTGGTTTTAGTTCTAATACACTTAACTCTGACTGCAGTATCCAGTTCATTTATTTTTTCAGTTTTCTAATATTGCTTTTTGATCACTTTGGTAGCAAACTTAGTTAACTGAGGCTGCTATTTGCCCCTGTGCTGCTTTTACTAGGTTTTGAGAGTTTGAAACTAGAGTGATCAGCGGATCTTGGTAGGATTGATATTAATAATCAACATTGGCCGTTTGAATTGACAATGAGAAAATGCGGAGTCTATTGAACATTACTGGCTTTCTCTTATGCTGCTACTTCAAACTTTCTTATGCTACTACTTCAAACATTGCGCATAAGTACTTGCAATATAAGCAAACAACTATACTGGTGTTCTCTAACCTGGCTAATTAGTATTCTCTAGATAAGCATAAATATAACAACAAACTAAGGTGATAGAACTTCATTGAGCAGCTCCAAATGCATGCCATCATAATGCATATCTTATTGAGGATGTGGTGTTTAACATTATATATTACATATAACAGACTAATGCTCTCCCAAAGTCATTTTTTTGGAGTCAAATTGTCTATTTGGAATGCTTTTGATCCTAAAAATCAAGCATTTAGCTATATTTTTTTCATCATTGGTGAGCCCTTTTTGTTTCCTGTGCTATTCCTTCTAAACTACTGAAATAGCAGGATGTAAATAAAGTGGGTAATTTGCAATGTTTCATAGTCTATTTTCTTTGTGTATGTTGAGTCTAGCTAGACGCTGGAGTGCAATTGCCAAAATAAAAAAAGATGACAACTTCAGTTTGTCTAGTAATGATTCAATCTTTTGGTTCTTTTCTTGGAGGACTATTTTTTCTTAATATTTTTAATGTGTAATGGGGATCAGTTAAGCATTCATTTTAGCTTTTCTGTACCTTTGAGATTTAATTCCCAATCTGCAAATGTGGTAAATATGCTTACATAAGGTTATTGGCTGATCTTTACAACAGGCCATCACTGCTTTGAAAAAAGGGGCATACCTGCTAAAGTATGGAAGAAGAGGAAAGCCCAAGTTTTGTCCCTTTCGCCTTTCAAATGTAAGTTTGGTGTACTTCTTCCAGCATGCATGCATTTTTTTTCTCCAAAATTATGTTTCTTAAATCATGTTGATGAAAGCAGCGGGTGGTTGCTTTAGTTTGTACAAATTATTAACTGATTGAAGATATCAAGGAAATTAGTTTTGTTTCTCCAATGCCTTTGGTTATGAGGGAGAAATGATTAAAAAAAAAAGAAAAAAGAAGAAGCATGTTGATTTACAATTAGTTTACATAGGATTCATTAACATCAGATGGAATTAGCTGCATAATATTGCCTGGCCAATAATAATTTTGATTTTTTGTAGTTATTGTGTGACTGATGTCTTTTTAGGATTTCAAGGGAATGATTTATGAAAAGATATTATTTGAATGCAAAAGAATTGTACTAATTTAAGTTTATAAAAAGAATATTGATTGAAACAGGACTA